AAAAGAAAAGAGAAAAGGGAAAGATGAAATCAAAGGCTTGGGGGATTTTATGAGTAAATATTAAAAATAAACTGATGAGACAGGGACAAGTCCAGGAACGGGATTGCAGAAGAATGATGCCCATTCAGAGCCAGGTAAGAAGCAATGCGTTTATCAATGTGATTTCAAAGTATATTAACCGCTAGCTTGTGTAACGAAGATAACAACTTTTCTTTTAGAGAAATACTGGAGCTTAGCGCCAAAAAGAGTAGAAAGATGGCAGATGTCCAGGTGCAGTGTGAAAGACAGAGTGGAGCGGGAGAGCCATCTGAGGCATAACAGCTTCGTGGGGTGGGGGGAGCATGTGTTTAAGGAGGAGACAGAGAGAGCCAACCCTACCGATAACAGACAGTGCAGGTGGAGGGGCTTGCTGCCCGATCTGAGAGTCTGAGCATAGTGGCTCAGAGACAGATCATACCAGGATATGATAGGTGTAGAGGGGGGGCCAAAAAGACCGTGTTGTCCCGGGCCCTGGCAAAGCTGTCAGCTGGCCTGCTTAGATATCGGATATTTCTCCACCACAGTTGGAGCCAGTGTTAGGGTTACAGCCCTGAGTGCACTGATGACCAGGGACAGTATAGTTGCCTTCCCCTTTCAGGCTCTTTCTATTTCTTCCCTGAGCTCTTGATATTTCTCCAGTTCCTGTTATATTTTACTGATGTTTCCATCAGTACAAGTAATGGAAACATCAGCAAAAATTTGTTGCATTTGTTGCGTGGAGTAGGACACTTCTTCTCTGTCTCCCAAACCCTCCCCTGTCTGCCCTGCTTCCTCTCGATGTCTTGTCTTCTTTTGGAGCTGCTTTTTACATATATACTAAAACTGAATTATAGATATGGTCAGCAGTCTGTCGTTGCAATGGATTTATTTTTTTCTACAGAAAGACAGGGTAAGGGGGACCCTCCTGTCAAGTCGGGACATTTTTCTCAGGATACCGATGGATTCCTGGCAGAGATAGAAGATTGTTTTCCTGACCATGATGTCAGTTGAGGATGTAGAAGATGCATACATAATCAGATTTTTGATAACAGGATTTCTGCTGTTTGGGGTTGGTGGATACCTGGCATATTGTGAAATATGGAAAACTATGGCCGCTGTTTTGGTTTAGGCTGCCTGGCATATGAGGGGATCTGCAGAGTTATCAACACTTAGACTGAAATGTTAAGGGAGCAGAATCGTAGACTGGGTGCAATCCTTACACAGGACTGTGTGCAGACTGAAGCAAGACAAAAAGCGCAACACTAGCTAAATTTAAGAACAAGATAGAAATAAACAATGTGCAAATAATAACATGGATGAAGAGAAGGTAAAATAGAAAAAAATAGAAAATCCCTTTACTGTCCCACAATGGGGAAATTCTGGTGTTTGCTGTGTGAACAAAGTCACTTAATGTACAATGACAGCTGCTGACTACATAAAAGCTGTGCAAATAATAGTATGGGTGTTAAAAATAATTTATGCCTCAGATTAAAAACAAACAAACAAAAAAAATAAATAAATAATAGCAGCATGGTTTTAAACACTTAATCAGACTGTTGGGAGCCGTGAAGATAGTCAATGAACAGATAGTCGTAGCAATCTTTAATTGAAGAAACACTGTAGTTGCTTAAAACATTCTTGCATGGGCTCAGAAACAATGTACAAACAGTATTGTCATTATCGTTACAGTTTTTGGTGTTTTCTACAACTTTTTATGTGTCCAGGGGCATATAGTACAGAGGGAGCCTACCTAATGAGCTGTGTTTTAAAATCAATAAGCAATTTAATCTCATATCCCCTTACATTTACGTTTCAAACCTACCCAATATAATTAATACCGGTAGCGCATTATGAAAAACAAATTTTAAAATGTCAGTTTTCAATTACATGTATAATTGATTCTCTTATGAAGGTCACGTTAAAGTCCGCTAGGTTTGTGATGCTTCCTAACCAAGCAGTATGTGAACCAATCCTGATCATGAATACCTTTTTGCATAGCTAATTAAAATAACACTCAGCAGTAATACCTCGTTCTGCTAAGCCTGTAAGTAGGAATACTGGAGTGGTACAAAAAAGGGTGCAAGAATTTCCATTTGGGTACTGGGAACAATTATTGCAGGTTTTTGCATATGACTCCATCAGGTTCATTGGAGTTTTGTTGATGAACCAAATGCAGAGACAGAAGGCGGAGTTGTTTTCTTGTAAATTTAATGAAGAGGTAGATGGTACAGAAGCATCGATTCAGACATTACCGGCGAGGAATTGAGGAATCAAACTAGGAGATGCTCAGGAAAAACAAACAAAAATTAAGAGAATCCAGCAATAAGGAACTGCACAGGAGCTGTACATATGGGAGATAGAACATTGAATCGGCTGATCAGCTGATAGGAAGCAGGTATGGATAGAATCAAATAGAAAGGAGCTAATGGCAAAGGAAAGGGACACTACGAGCAACAAAAAATAACCAGGGAAAACAACAGTATCTAACTGTAAGTAGGAAAGAACTTAAATGAAGCTAAAGAGAAATAACTAATGACTACTACTAAAACTAGACCAAGGAATAAATAATACAAAAAATTCTGATAAGAGATAACTAAAAGAAATAACAAGGTAGAGTAAAACTAAGAATTTTAAAATGATATTGATCTTTACAAACACAGAATAACGTAAAATAAAGCACCCAAAAAGAAAACTTAAACAGAACCAAATATTCTAGAAAGGTCAGAATCATGACAGACTCTGCACATGCGGAGCTAAATATTTTTTAGAACATTAATGCTTTTTTTTTTTCAAATCTATTCCCAAGATAAAATCTGTTCAGTTTTGCATTATAAGTAGCTCTGGAGATAACTGGAGTTTTCAGCAAGTAAACAGACAAGATTGTAAAATATACCGTTTGCCACCAATTGTATTAGGAGCCAGCTCTTTTTTTTATTTTGATTTTATTATCTTTTCTTTCTATAACTATTAACCATAAAATTCAAAAGCTACAATTGATTATATTGTATTTTCACCTATAATTTTCACTGAACGACAAATGTCTCTTCAAAGCAGTGAAGTGTAGGGAGGATAATGTATACATTCTTTTATGTTTTTTTGGAAGAGCTGGGGTTTTGGCAGCTATTAAGCAGGAGAAAAATAATTAAATTCATTATAATTTTCTTCAGTGCCACATGCTAATGGAAAGGAAGGTAGTTCCATAAAGCTGGCTCCTACAAATTGATTATTATGTTCCCAGTGCCACATTGTTAATGCATACAGCACAGTCGGCTCCTAGGTTTGAAGCAGAGTTATTTAAATTTAGTCCGTTTAGTTTGTAGCAAAAAGAAGCATATAAAAAAGCCTCTTCACCCATAAAAGACAACTTCCCTTAATGTACAAAATCAGTGTTATTGAATATAGGAAACACTTCTCTAAGCTAAGATGACAATATTTCTACTTTATGAGGTTCTCACAAAGGCAGAAAAGAGAAAAGCAGAAAACACAACAGCTTTAAAATCTACTTTAGAACCTGACCTGTGTTTTCCTGACTGCTTTAATCTCTTTTCATGGACATGTATCATCTTTACAGCAACGGAAATATACATTGTCATTGAGTGACCATTTACACAAATTTAATTCATTTGAGAAGTCAGTTAGTTATACTGCCTCATGTATATGCTAATTGGAGACATCTCAGAATGCAATCATCACCTCTCTTTACTGAGTCTATCAAACCAGGGTAAAATTAGAATTTTAATGTAAGTATAAGTCATTGTTTTCCAATCCTGGTGCTAATTGCAAACCACATTGTAAGGAAACCATTGCAGCTGTGGTTAGTCATCAGTTTCCTAACAACTGGTTGAGCACTTTATAATCTAAAGCAGCTACAAAAAAGCAGCATTTAGATCATTTGATCTGACTTTGAAATAATGTTCAATTCTACTGGAAGTGTTCCACCTTAATTGGACACTGATTGGATCTAGTCAGGCTTTAATTTTTTTATATCTATCAGCTCTGATCAGTAATCACCTCTTCAGATACTATAAAATTTTCCTTTTCAATATGACAAAATCCCTTATCCACAAATTCAAAACAAATATTCTTGTCAAACTTTTGCACTTCAGGCACGAGTCCATTTCTCCTCGTGCACGCTCTCTATAAAGATTGCTGTTTGCATCACTCATAAGCAGACAAGCTTACTTTCCAAAAGACGATTTGAAACATTTCCACTATGTCAGGCTAACAACGAAAAATAAGTGAAAATGGGGACGAGCACATCGGAAGGCCTTACATAAACATATCACCAGAATGATTGACAATTAGGAGGACTACTTATTTTGATCATCCATCCAGAAAAAAACATCCTCCACTATACCTTTAATATATAAGCACTAATAAAAACAGTCCAATAAAAAGCAGTACACATTCTTCAAAGACAATACACAACTTCATGTTGAAAGAAATCACACTGAATGTCACATTTCAAGAGTTAAATATCACACTTCTTTAATGGAAGAGCATACATGGTAGATTTCTGAATATTGTCTTAGAAACAGATAAATATCAAGGAGATGTAGGCTGATGTACAAAAAAGGTTTCTGTAGGATTTAAATTCCCTACCACTATCACAACACTGCACATATTTCACAAATTATACCTTTGATTAACATTTAAATCAACAACTCAGATCTAAAAAAAAAACCCAGAACTGGCTATCAGCTAAGAAAAGCCTGATTGGTTCATTTTTAAGCAGAAATGAATTTATAAAAATCTAATGCTTAGATACAGGGGTTTTTGGTAATTTGTATCGTACCTAAATTAGTATAAAAGATTCAAATCTGCTTGTTTGGGTCAGAATTAAATTGTTTTGCTTTACTCTTTCTATCAGAGCTCATCAGGAGAAGTCATCACCGCAATCCCCTTAATCTGCCCACGGTTATTAAATCTGGCCTATGGTTTCACATCCCGTATGTTTGCACATGGACATGCAGGTGACCTACCTGAACCTCACGTGCATGGTAGGCTATGATGAGGCCCAGCAGGATGACTGTGGACAGGCTGATCAGACACTTCAGGGCCAGAGAATACATGGAGCTCTGCAAAGAGACAAAAATACTGTGATTAACATTATTAAAGACAAAAAAAAACAAACAGGCTACACATTTACAATGGAGTTTGCTCCGGTGGTTAGATTACCATACTTAAAAAAAACATCAAAAAACACAAACGCTTTTCAAAGAATAACATTTTACAAGCCAGTTTTAATCATTAGGATGCAGTATATAAAAAGGAAGTTGGAGTAAAGTTAAACTGTAGTATTTGAAGCATCAATATCTGTCTGGAGTCAAGCTTTAAATCCTCTGCTTGTCTGGTTTGATAGTGCTCATAATCAATGCTGTGGGGAACTTCCAATCAATACAACTCATAGCACTTCAATGGCTTTACCAACCTCTCACTTAGAGCAAAGCAAGGCATTCTCGTGTTATCAAACCGGTGTTTGCAGAAACACACGCTTGAATGTTCATGCAAAAGACTGAAAAAGAAAGTACAAATAAATAAAATTGATGAATTCGTTTATAGTGAATGAAGGAGGTGAAATCAAACTACTATTCAACTTACTCCAATATTTTTCTAATTTTAAGCATTCAGGTGTTAGCAGTGAAAAGTGGAATTAAGAAAGCCTGATTTAGTCAGGTTCATCCAGTTCCCTTTGGTCACTCATTCTTCCTCTCATTCATTTTCTTCATGCACCAGGCGCTACACAGCGAGGGGTAGCCATTCAGAGAGCCTTGCTGTCTGTCAAATCGTTGGACCCATTTTTTATGGCTTGAGATTGGAAAAATTTGATTTCTTTGGTTTTTAATATGTTATATAAAATGTTTATCTCTGAGTTATAGATTCTGCTATTAACATATCTAAGCCTTATCTAATACAGAAAATATCTCAACTACTATGCTGTAAGCTAGAAAGAAATATAAGATACTGAATTTAAAGAAAGTGTCCCCAAATTCTGTAATATAAACTTTTATTTTCTTTCATCTTTTTAGACTGACCATTGTGAAAAATGTCACTGAGTAAGTTACTTTTAGATATTTAGCATAAAACTAACTTGGTGTGCTCCTTTTAAATAAGAGACCAAGTATGCAAATTGCAGCAGTTGTGAGCAGTGGTATCTTGCAGCAAGAAGGTACTGGGTTCAACTCCCAGGCTGTGGGAGACTTACATGTTCTCCATGTACAGGCAGGGTTTTTTCCCGGGTATTAAGGTTTTCCCTCCACATAGTCTTTAAAACATTCATGGTAATCTTTCTGTCTATTGTAACTTGCTCCTGAGTGTACATCTGGAAGGTTTTGTGTCTTTGAGTGACCCAGAGATGGACTGGAGATCTGTCAAGGTTAAAACTACAGGGTGTGGGTGAGATCTGAAAAAAAATAGTAGCTTGCAATTTGAATGTTGTAGGTTTTATTCCAGCTTGCTCAAGGTATTTAGCCTTGATTTGCCAACATTTGCCCTACGTCAGATCAAATCTCCACTGTACATATAATGCAACCTACACCCAACCACAAATATGTTGTGGTTTTCATGTTTAATGAGGACTTTTATTTTACTTCCCTTCATTTGTATGGCCTTACCCCAATAAAAACCATTACCAGAATATGGCAAATCTAAACTAAACCTTAGATCTACACTTAACCCCAAATCCAACAAGATAAGTTTTCCTTATGGGGACCAATTGATTGGTCACCACAAGTCTCCACAATGTAGCATATTTAAATGAAAATCACAAGGTAACAAAAACAAGTCTAAGAAAACACACACACACACACACATCTAATTTCTACATAATTGGAGCAATTAGTATAATAAAGCACCTTTAGATATAAAATATAGTATACACGTAACATACAATTTTGTTAAAATTAAATATACCCAGAAATTAACATTTACTTACAAACTAATATGTCACAGATTAATATAATGAGGCCAGCCCTTTTTTTAAGGGCTGGTTATACTCCTGGAGCTGTGTGTCGCAGTGAGCTCGCCGCAGATATTTTTGATTTATGCCCAATATTGAAATGTGGTCTGTGCTATGTTATTCCACGCCACAGTGCAAGAGGAACAATCAAGAACTAGCTGTAGGTCTAGATACGGCCGAGGCGGTGAGGAAGTGGGGCCAACATTGTGCGACAATGGAGGAAGATGAGGGCAATGCTGAGAAATTAGTCCACGTATTTTTAACTTCAGGCTGGACTATTGTAACTCTTTACTATCAGGAAGTCCCCAAAGTCTTGAGCTGATCCAAAATGCTGCAAACAGAGTTCTGATGAAAAATAATAAGAGAGATCATATCTCTCCTATCCTGGCTTCTCTTCATTGGCTTCCTGTTAAATCCAGAATAGCATTTAAAATCCTCCTTCTTACATATAAAGCCTTAAATGGCCAAGCTCCATCTTATATCAGAGATATGATTGTTCCTTCTGTTCCTAACAGAGCACTTCGCTCTAAATCTGCAGGTTTACTAGTGGTTCCTAGAATTTCTAAAAGTAGAATGGAGGGCAGATCTTTTAGTTATCAGGCTCCTCTCCTGTGGAACCAACTACCAGTTTTAGTCCATGAGGCAGACACCCTGTCTACTTTTAAGGCTAGGCTTAAAACTTTCCCTTTTGATAAAGCTTATAATTAGAGTGGCTCAGGAAACCCTTAGCTATCTCTATAGTTATGATGCTAAATGCTTAGACTTATGGAGGACATAGGGACCCTGATTTTATCTTTTTGCTTCATTCTCTCTCTATTCTACCACTCTGCAGAATCTGTTAGCTCAATCTCTAACGTTCTGCTCTCTCTGCTTTTGCTAATAGTAGCTTTGCATCGTCTGTTCCCGTTTGGCTGTAACACCATCCTGGAGAGAAATATCAACTGTGCTGCTGCCATCAACACCTTTGTTAATAGATGTTGGAGATCTGCCTGTTTTTCAGTGTAGTCCTGTTTCTACATCCTCTGAAATGGGAGTTGGCTCGGCGCTAGTCTGCCTGGCTGTGTGTTTCCTGGATGGGGCCGCCTTTTACAGCTGCTCTTTGTATCTCTGCTTCTGTCTCCTTGAACCCCAGTTTCTTCCTGTTAAAGGGAGTTTTTACTCTCCACTGTTGCTACAAGCATGCTTAGTGTGAGGGATTGCATTTGAGTCAATGAGTCGATGCAATCCACTGATTTTCCTTAGATAGAAAACTTTGAATCAATTTGACTGCCTTGAGATGACATGTGTTGAGAATTGGTGCTATATAAATAAACTGAATAGAATTGAATTGTTTTCTGGCACACCTTGGAAAAATTGGTACCCACTAGGTACTGTTTAAAAAACAAAACTCTTCTAAGTAATAATAATGACCCTTTTCCATTCCTCTTTGGAATAAAAGTACCCAATTTCCATTAGATGCTTCGAGCAAGATAATAGACAATTGGATCCCTGTTCTTTAATGAGCTCCACTGTCACTACATCTCCATTCAATGGAGACGCCACTAGGCTATTAATATACTGTCCCTTTGATTTGTTAAAGGCATAAAGTCTCTGTCAGCTTCTCTTCTAGGTATCTAGTGATGCGAGGTGAGATGGCGAGTCTCGTGAGGTTTTGAAGCATCCTCTCTATATCTAAAGTTAATAGGACTGCTTTGTCAGGCTAATGGAAAATAAAAAGTTAAGCATGGGCCTTTGCACATATAATTTGTCTTTTTGACAAATCCCAGTATTTTTATGAAATTTTTGAAATCTTGAATTAATGTTGCTAGTAAAACTATGATGAACTCAAAGATTTCATCCTGTAAGGGAAGTCCTATCTTTTTAAAAAATTATCTTTTTTTGAGGTGCACAAAAGCCATGTACTGAGATCAGTGTTACTTGAGAACAAGACTGCGCAAAAAAAATGTAAAGTGCTTATAAATGGCTGTCTATAGCAAAGGAAATCTTGTTTGTAATTTGTGTTTGGGATTAATTAACTATTTTTTTATTTGAATTAAATAGGGAGGGTTGTATATGCACAGTAAAGGCTGATTTATCCTCAGAAACCAGGTCATCCGCCCCTTCCGCAGACACTCGGCTGCACCTCTCCAAAATTGTGACCACAGACAGTGCCGCAGACAGGAAGCCTCTGATTAGTCGATCTACATCGGCTCTACAGTATGCGTATTTCCGGGTTGGTACTTTACCGGCTTGTTTAGTTTGTATGACCACCATAGACTCGTGAAGTTGGACCAGCCAGAAGAGCGAGCTGCGTGAGAATGCTGGCACTCTTTTATTCACCTGGATCCATGCTCCTTTTTCGCCCTCATGTCCCTCCGTTGTCGTACAAACTTGCCCCCAATTCCTCACCACCTCGGCCATAACTCGACCCACAGCTAGTTCGTGATTGCCCAATATTGAAGCGCAGACCAGGCTTTAATATTGGGCATAAAACAAAAATATCTCCAACAAGCTCACTGCGACACACTGCTGTGGGAGGATAACCAGCCCTTAAGCCATGGAACCCTAACAGAGTTGCTTGCAGTTCAAGTTTTTACTCTTGCTAGCAGTAAGGTAGAAAAGGCCAACTTTGCGTTACAGTATGAAATGTATTGTATCAATCCAGACCGTGTCATCTGAGTATTTAAGCAAAGATGTGGTTAGTATGTTCATGAATGAACAGCAAAGGAAAGAGCTCAGCACTTACCGTTTTGTGCTTTATTATAGGTTGTGAGTGCAGGACACACAGTTGTGTCCACCAGATTAGCTGTAGAAATAATGGCCTGGATATTGTGAATTACATTAAATGTTGGGTTATTGCATATCTTAAATAATCAGGTGCCCCTGGATGTAACTGAAAACACAAATAAGGTTTTACCATCCTGACAATAGTAACTGATGAGTTCAACTACTTAACAAACTACAGCATCCACTTTAATGCTATTGATCCTGTAGTCAAAATGAGAAGGGATTCAGTGGAGGGGCAAACTGTATTGGACTTGGTTTCTTTTAGACAGTTGTAGTTGTAACTGTTTTACATATTTTTTTTTTTTTTTTAAACAGTCTGATTTGATTTAGAGGGGTTCAAAAAAGGAGTAAGCT